AGAGAGAGAGAGAGAGAGAGAGAGAGAGAGAGAGAGAGAAGCAAACAACTAAGCCTCAAGCCTGCAACTTTTCAGTTTATCAGGCTGTAAACCAAGTTGATCTCAGTTCAGAACAGAATTCAAAGTGCACATTCAAACAAACGAGCGTGAGACCAACCGAGTTTACTCGCTTCCGACCTTGTGACTTATAAGATCAAGATTAACTGATAACATTCAAGATTAACTAAGTCCAAGATCAGTTCAAAATCTATCAAGCTGAACTTGCATTGAGCTAAGTCATCAAGTCCAAGATCAGTTCAAAATCTATCAAGTCCAAGATCAGTTCAAAATCTATCAAGCTGAACTTGTCGAGCTAGCTTGACATCATCTAGGTCTGTAATTGTTTATGCACATGTTTGAGAGGCATCAATTTTTACTCATTTACTTTTATGCATTTTTTATGCACATGTTTGAGAGAGATGATGTCGAGCTAGCTTGACATCATCAATTTTCACTCACATCAGTGTTGTATGCTATTATGTTTAAAGGAATGCTTTTGGTTCTATTCTCAATTTACTTTCGGTTATATCGAACCTGAAGTGTACAAATGGATTTTTCAAGCAAAGTTCGTCTGATGACACCAAAGCATGTGACTAAAATTGGCGCAAGTCTAGGTTGTTATTGGTTTTCCTAAAGTTCTCTTAAATTAGACTCGAGAAGTGTTCTAGTTATTTAGAGGTGCAAGGCTACTGTCCCTGACCCCTGGGTACCTAATAAAATCATCAACTCTTTCAACGAAATAAATTGAAATATTTGTTTTATATGTGCCTTTTGATCAGCTTAGTTCCTAGGTTTGCATATACATACATGCATGTTACGGAACAAGAAACATTGCCATCTTCTTTTCTTGTTGCTATTTAATCAGGTCTTACAATTCATTTTTCTATACCAATCAAGACCTAATATTTGTAATTTGATATCTAAAGTCTAACCTTGAAGGGACAAGCTTCAGATAGGGTGTGGCTTTATACATGCAACTTACCATTTAGAATCTCTGAATGGTATGGAGTTGGCATCCACTTCTATCATTATAAGTGCACCCAACCTAAGAACATCATGCTGCTTAGGTCTTAAATTGGGATGTAATTTGGTTCACGATTACCTTGCAGCTACATGGATTTGAAAGATGAATCCCCAACCCTACATCTTTTGATCATATAAAAGTTCTAAATTCTATGGAACCTATAATTGAATCATATTTGCATCAATGTCTAGGATGAAGATTATATAACTTATGCTGATGAATGAGTGCTAGCAAAAATAGACTAAGAAAATTATTTTAAGCCTCAACAGTTTTGGATTCGGTTAAATTTATAGAAGGTAATTTTTCGCTAGATGAAAGATGAAGAAAAGATAGAGAGAAACAGCAGCTGAAGGATCTAGCAAGTGATATAATCAATTAATAAGTAGGAAGACACCCAACATTTTTCAAAACTTCACACAAGAGTGCTAAGATGCATAACAGATACTTTTACCTTCACAACAAATTGAAACAATTTTGTGTTCTAAACAAACTGATAAATGCATATACTTATTTTATATTTTAGATAGCTGTTCCACAAATTTATGACTGAAGTAATTTTATGATATAATAGAATGCATATTAAACTTTCCTAGTCTACCATATCAAACATATTCAATCTTACTACAACTGAAGTGTAAATAATCACTACTTTTTATATTCTCAGATATAGAAATCATCATTTCATACGATAATGAAAAGGCTGTCTGTGGAATAACTGGCTTGCACATTGAACCCTATACAAACCAAAGTTACAAGCAAATGCTCCATGTGAAAGTACTAAGTAGTTGCAAGGTACTAGTAAAAGACAATAAAAGAAAATTCATTGTTTTCGGTCTGAGAACACTAATGTCATTGTACGCAAAGGTACAACATAAGATTACTCGTAGATATGCTAACATCCTCCACAAGTCCTTGTGTTGTAACTGACTGAGAGAAAACTAGCTTCTCTTAAGCTGTGGCACAAGTCCTTTTCTTGTTCCTAAATAAACGGCTTGTTTTCTTTCTTTTTGCTTCTTTCCTCGGTAGTTCTCATATGCATAGTTATCATAGGGAGTCTTGTATCGGTTAAGTTCTAATATGATATCCATTATCTTTCCTTCCTGTGGCGGAGGCACCCGTACTACAGCTACACTATTTTATGCGCTGGTACGAGTGTAACTTGATAAAGCTTTTTCTCAAAGGGAAAAGAGGTTGAATCCAACCGAAGAAAGCATTTCAAACAGAAGAGCGAGTACGTACGTACTTCATCCTTAAGCAGATAGCTTTACCATTTGAGAGAAAAGAAATGATAACAGAAGAGATTCGTCCGGTGGGAAGCCAAGCAGATCGTAGAACCAAGCTGAAGAAAATGAAGAAAAATATAGGTATCGCGAGGTTGGAAAAGAGGAAATCGATAACCTAACGAAGTTTCAGACGACCGAACTAAGATCGAACGGAAATAAGGGTTAAGGGAAATATGGGATTAGTAAACGGCATCGGATTATAAAGGATGAAGGAATAAATAATAGGGTTCACGCGACCAAGGCCTTAGGCTCGAAGCACTTGGCTGGTTTTCGAGGTCGATCATGAGGAAGAAGAGAACAATACAGCGAAAAATAGGAAAAGAGGATGGAGGAAAAGCAGGACCTGGAGCTGGCGAACTCGTAGAGCTTCCCGCGGGCGGAGAAGATGATGAGGCCGATCTCGGCGTCGCAGAGCACCGACAGCTCCAAGGCCTTCTTCAGCAACCCGTTTCTCCGCTTGGAGAAGGTCACCTGCCGGCTGGTCGCGTTCTCTATCCGCTTCAGCTGCGTCTTCCCCCTCACCATCGTCGCCGTCGCAGCCACCCACCCACCTACGCCAAGATCCCCAGCGATAACCAACCACACGAAGGAGAGGGGGGGGAGGGTTGGGGAGGAGGAGGAGGACGAGGAGGAAGAGGAGGAGGGCAAGGGAAGAGATGAGATCTCACCAAAAATGGCAAAGACACTGGATCGGGGAGTCTTCTTGCGATCGAGCAGACGACTCGGAACCACCGTGTTTTTCCTTATTCGTTCCTCTTTGCACATCCCAAAAGAAACTTAAAGGAGCGGAAAATGAGGAAAAGGGGAAACCCTCGTTCCGTTCCGATTAAAGGTAAAAACACGAGTCACATTTTTTCGCCTCCTCCTCTAATCGTGGGGTTGTTACAATTTGGGAGTGGCGGTGAAGGTGTGAAGGTAAACCGAGGACGACTCTCTTTCTATCTTTCGTCCTCCACCTCTGGTATGCATCCGGGTGGGTCGGTGCGGTGGTGGGGCCCGCCGGTTGGGACATGGGGCACCACCTCGTACAAGAGTCGTAGGAACCCGCGGGCCGGCGCCGCAGGTACGCGTCCGTACTCTTCGGCCCCTGATGCACCGACACGTAGGCGTACCGGGTTGCCTCTCGCCCAATGGAGAGGTCGGGCGACGAAAGCAGGACGCAGCGAGTCACGTGGCCCCTCCTCCTCCTCCCCTTCATTTATCCGCCCCTCGCCCCAGCCAAACCCACCTCCAACTCGAGTTCGCTCTCCTTGGGTTAGGATCCTCTCCAATCCATGCCGCCACCTGTTTTTAACACTCACCTCCCCACCCCTCCCCTCCCCAATCTGCGGTCTACCGACGGCTGAGATGTGATACGAGACCGAGTGCTGTCCGTGAAGCGGCAGTACAAATTGCAGCGCATCTCCTCCCGGCAACCAAACATAAGAGAAGTTTGTCTCCATACACGGGAGTGTTAGGTCGACCATCGCGACGCCTTCGGCTCTCTCTTTCCCTCGAAGAAGGCCAGTGTGCGCGCCACGAGTTCCGCCTCAGTATGTCACGTGAACGGCACGTGAGAGTTCCAGTACATGCTGTCAAATCGATCGGTGGACCAGTTGGGGGTAGAAATCAAATCAATGGATGCCTCGATTGCAATCGAGTGGTTGATGTGGGGGCGACGTAGCGATATAATATATGCTACTTCGGTGACGTCGCCTGTCCTGCCCATCATCTCACCGGCGGGTCACTTCAGGGACCACAACCGAGAGTGTTTTTTCCACCACCGTTTATGTTGCTGCGAGTGAGACGGCATGCGGATTGGATGAGACGGCAAGATTCGGTTCGAGCGTGGAGGTGACATTTGGGTCATCGGTGCGGGGGAGGTGGCAGATACCACCGGGACTGCTCCCCGTCCCAATCTCAAAGGCTTAGAGGGGTTAGGTGAGCATGAGGATGGATCACTGAGGTGGAGGTGATTTCTAGGGACGCTTGAACTAAGAAAACAGGGCCATTGGGCTATATAGAACGTTGCAGATAAAATATAGGATAATTTTCTTTATATTTTGAATATTTTTTAAATCGTACTCCTATTTTGATTCTTAATCATGTCTCTTAATTTAAAAACTTTTCAAATTGACCCTCTTTTATCATTATCATCGTCATCGTCTTTGTCATTATCTACGTTTTTCCCTCTCATTCCTCGTTATGCATATTTTTCTTCTCCTCTTTTTTCTCGGTTATCTCTTTCATCCTCCTCTCCCTTTCCTCCTCCATCACCTCCTCCTTCCTTCCCGCCTACTTCCTCTCGTGGATGGTGAACAATGAACAAAAAACAACAACGATGGACAACAAACAAGAAGGAGTGGTAGGGATAATTTTGATATTTTTAAATTAAGAATATGATTTAAAAAACTAAAATATAAATATTTTTTACAAAAATCATCTTGAAATATATATGTATTTATTATATGTACTTGTATGGGTGAATTTTATGAAAAAAAATCTTTTTTTTATTTTTCCAAGATATGTTGATTTTTTAAGTTTTTAAGAGTATTTTTATTTATCATAATTCCTGATATATCATCCTAACAAGATAATTAAACAAGATATGGTTAGATCATATGGATTGATCGAATCCTCATGTATAAAATTTATAGTATAATTCAATTATACTCTTTTCGACATCTCCATATTATTATAAGTTTATTAAAAAATATTATAATTGAGATAAAATAAATTTAAAATTCAATCGAAACCAGTTTATAGATAAAATTTATTAAAAATAACAATAAATATTATAATAATATTAAATCTAAATAAAAATATCACATTACATAGAGCTCAACAATAAGAAAAGATCATTCATTCTATCCTTTATCATTTGATCTTGAAATGAGATCATAAGGCATCCATTTGTACTTCCATGAAAATTTATTTTTAAAAAATAAAAAAAATATTGGTGAAATTGATTGAAAACAATTTTCATTACAAACGAAGTCATCATTGATGACATTCATTAAATATGCAATCTCTTTCTGTCTAATCTTTGCTTTGTCCACGTCTCCAAAACCTAATATAGACTATGCCTGACCTTGTGAGTCTCTCTCTCCTCCACTCTCTCCTTATCAGCTCATGGAAATCAACCTGCTGCATGTCAAATTGCCTTGACACTTGTCTCTCATGGAGCCTTGAAATTTGTGGGATGGATTTATTTGATGTCTTCACTAGCATTTGACTCACCCTGTGGGATGTGTGTGTGTGTGTGAGAGAGAGAGAGACAGAGAGAGAGAATCTGGGCACAGAGGACCCAATCATTTAGCTGCAGAAGTAAAAGACTTATCTGGGATAAAGATGCATTAAAGTCTTCGTCTTGCATTTCCTACAAACGATGAAACAAAAAGTGCCACTTCTTTTTGTTACACTACTTTGGTTGAACTTTTAACCCCCTTTTGGCTTCATTAGTATCATAGAAATTTTCACTCTTTAGCTTACATTAGATATGGTATTTATCGATATTGTCTTTGTGGTAATATTGTGAGAGGAGGGAGGAGAATACCTTAATATCGAAAGGATAAGTCATACAATTAATAATAATAATAAATTAAAAAATAAACATATGTTCGATGTGATTTGATATTCTTAATCATGTGAGATCAAACTATAAGTACTCGTTATTAACTTTAGTTTAAATATAAATCACTTATACCTCCTCTCACATAAACCTCGGATTTATCTCGTCTAAATATTTATATGATTATCAAACTCTAATTTTCAAGATTTGTTTTACCGACGCATAAAAGTCTTTCCATACTTCAATTCTTTTGGTTTTTCTTCTAAGAACAGTGACCCATAAATCTAAAATATATTTCTCACCCACCACAAATTCTCAGTTCCAAGAACAATTACTTACGCTAACCAAATCCATCATTCTCAGCTTCATCCAGGAATGTTTCTTCTGTGGAGAACTAACTATTTGTGTTTGGCAGGTCATGCAAAGACAGCACTGACCCACAGTTTTGGCACTACATATCATCTTATATTTAATTCTTCAATCAACACATGATGTGGTCTTGCTGTTGCGCACCAAGTGATGTTGGATGTATCATCGAGACAAGTTAGTACTGACCTCAATTTTAGTTTTGGCATGTTGAGCCAAAATGAGTAGTACTCCATTGGCATTTGGATCATACGAATTGTGTTCTTTTAATCCCCTCTTGGAAATGTTTGCCACAAAAGATGGTTCAAAGGACATCATTGTTCATCTCTTGGAATTGTCACTTCATTTCTTCTTCCTTTGTTTGTATATTAAAAATATTAGAGACCAATACTGTAATAGATTTTAACACGTTGTCTCGAGTGTTGTAATCTCTAATATATAATAGATCCATATTCTTCATGTATAAATTCAACCAGTCAACAACAATCTTCAAATTCTGCTCTATCCCATTCCAAAATATCAATATTGATTGGATTTTGGTAACATGTGTCTTATTTCTTATTTTGCTTTTATTTTATATGTATTATACAAAAGTTTAAATTAGTGTTGGTGAGCTGCCTAATTCATTAGTATCTCTTTAATATCTATATTTAAATTAATAAACAGAGATTTTTTTTTATAACAAATATATAAGGAAAACAAAATTATAGTGCATTAGAAAGCTTTAGTTGATTTGTTTTATCAAATAAAATAGTATGGAGAATTGAAAAGAAGAACAAGAAAGAGGCCAATGTGTTTATTGGAGGCCACAACTCGGTTAAGTTTGATTGGGTTGGAGTTGCTGCCAAGCCCATCAGAATTGGTGCCGATCAAGTCAAGTTGGATCACCGCCGCCGTCTGATTCGATCCACGAATTAGATCAATAATAAGAGTTAATCTGATTTAGTTATTTAGGCACTCATTTTCGGTCCAATTCAAAGTGGATGTTTCATTTCGTACCCATTTGTACCGATATCAGTAGATAGGAAGTGATGTCATATATTGATGGCTTGGATCATCCGGGTGGAGTTTTGGGTTCTTTTGTTGGGGGCCTACATTTTTTATTTTTTGATTTTGATATCCTACGTGCAGATAAATATTGGTCGAGGAAACGGGAAGAGGAAAGGGCAGCGGACGAGGTTGCTGTCTTCTTGAAGAGAGAGCGAGGAAGGGGGAGCGGAAGAAGGATGTCGGGAGGCATAGCTCGCGGCAGGCTAGCGGAGGAGCGGAAGTCCTGGCGCAAGAATCATCCCCATGTCTTCTACCGCTCCTTCCCTTTACTTTCCCTTGCTTCTTCGCTTCTTTTTTGGCTTTGGGATGATCCACTTCGTTTGATGTTAATTTTGGTCGATAGGGTTTTGTGGCGAAACCTGAGACGTTGCCCGACGGTTCCGTGAATCTCATGATTTGGCACTGCACCATCCCCGGTAAGCAAGGGGTAAGTCTCGCACGCGTGCCCTTCTTCTAAGGGGAAAACAAGGGGAATAAAGATTGGCATTGATCTAGTTTTCTTTGATATATGTCTTGTTGTTTCCTGCACAAAATTTAGCGATTTAAGTGTTACTAGATTCTTCTGGTATCTCATGTTAGGTTTGTGTTGATCTGTAGAACTTAGACCTGTGTTTAGGTGACTACAGCATCCAGTAGAAAGGAAACGTGGATGCTTAAACTCGAATTTAGGACTGCCCTAATGGCGAGTAAAAGAGTTTTTGAGGATCAGCTACTCATTTAGCTTAAGCTGTTTCCAGGATGGAGTGTTGTAAATAAAATTAAATATTGAAAAAGGGTTATCGAATTTGATGCTGCATTCACATATTTTGCAATATGTGTATGTGGTGTGCTGTATCTATTGTGCAACATCTGCATTTATTAGGTGCATTCGTACAATTGGACCTCAAAGTCTTAGAAGGACAATTTAGATTATGCATATGTATGATTTGTATGCTGGAGTATGGTGACTCCCAATATGCATGAAGGAAATAAATTTGGACAAACTAGTAGGGGAAAATATCCGTTACGACAACATTTTTTTTAGGAAATACTAATTTCTGAATTAATTTCATACTAATTATTTGATTGATAATTACTGGTGTAGGGATGATTACTGTTTTCTTGTCTTGTAGAAAAGTTAGATGGTGGAAATAAATCCCTTTGCTGTGGCCTTTCCTCGTTTTCATTTATCTTCATCTTTTTCATTTGAACTTCCTGATCCATCTTTGTGTTTCACCTTTGTGTTTCATCTCCAAGGACTAAGGGAGCTTTGCTCAAGCAAGTTAATGAATCTTTTGAAAGGATTAGTCATAAACAGTGAAAATTTTCAATAAACCCATCCCATGAATTATGACAACGTGAAGGATCTTTCTTTATGACCTTTGAACCAGTGATTTCAAAAGGTGCTCGGGTAAGGTGAGGCGAGGCCTGAGCACCTCGCAAAACCCTTGGGCATAGTACTTCAATGAAGCGTTGCTCGGGTGCTCGCTTGAGCCCAGGCACCAGGTGCCTCAGACGAGTGCTTGAGCCAAATTGGTCGGGCGGTTTGATTGGACTTACAAGTTGGTTCAATCGAACCAACTAACGTAGTGACCTGACAGCCCCAACCCCCTCCCTCGCCCGACCTAGTGAACGAAAGCAAAGGTGAAAGTGAAACCCTACGTCCTCACCTTCGTTCGCTCCGTTGGCCGCCATCGGCAACGTTGTCCAATCTCGCCCGCTGTTGCAGCTTGTCTAAACCCTAAACCTTGTCCGCTGTTGGAGCTCTGTTCGTCATTGCACCTCTGTCCGCTTCAATCAGCAACCTCTTCCATCGCCTTCGTTTAGTTCGTTTGATGTTGCAGCTCCGTTCGCTGCCGTTGACAACATCATCTGCTGCCTTCGTCCACCACTGCAGCTTCATCTGTTCACAGCTGCAGTTTCGTCTGCCGCCCTCTCCTTCCTTCACCTTCCTCCACAATTGTCGGTTACTCCTTTTCCCACCTTTCTTAGTTCCCTCTTTAGAACTATTTAGTAGAATAGATTTGAGTCGTGATGAAACTATATCAGTAATCAAATGGTATCAAAACTGGTATATTGCTATCTTTTTCTTCATGGCACCCTTGTGTATTGGCATGACAAGTGTTTTTTGTCGAGATTGTTGGCATCCAATTGTAATCACATCTCCATGGTGAAAGAGAAGGGAATGAGACTAAGGTCAGTCACCCACCTATCGGATCATCCTATTCCAACCTGGAGGAGAGAGAGAGAAAAGAATCAGAATTATTTAGCACCATATTGATTCACTCTTTAGAACTGTTTAGCATCATATTGATCTACTCTTTAGAACTGTTTAGCACTGTTGTAAACCTATTTAGCATAGGTCTCCATCAGTAGACACCTATTTAGCATATTTTTGTTTAGCTGTATATTTTTTAAATTATAATATTCCGGAGCGTCTCGCTTTGGTTGGCCGGGTGCCTAGGCGAGCGCCCGGTGCCTTGAGCATTTTGGGACTTTGGAGCCTAGCGCTTTTAAAAACACTACTATGAACAAGCCAAAATCAACCATATCCTGTTCCTAGTTGGAAAAATTAGATGAACTGAAGCGAAATGTATGATTTTTTTTATCGTTTAGGACTCTTATCGTAGTAGTGAAACATCTGAATCTTTATTAGCCTTGATCAGTTCTAAGATAGTGTTAAAGCTGAAGGTAACTTCATCTTGAAGCTAAATTCTGAAAGTGTGCCTGAGGACTGCTTGATGAGGTTGATATGGTAAAGAGAGGTAGAAAGTGGTTTCTTAAGTACATTATTGGCAATTATTACCAGGGTCTTTTTTTTGTGAATGCTACTCCAAAAGTACTAGATTGTTAGTCGATGTATTCTTGCTGTCAGAAGTTACAAAAATCACTGGTGAGGGCCACTGTTCACTAATAGAGGATCAAGATGGCAAATGAGTAATCTCGTGCTGGATTGATTGTTCAATAGAATAATATAATTAAAGCAGAAAAAGAGACATGATAATAGGAAATAAAGCGAGGAACTGACGTAAGAAAGGATAGTAATGGTTTTCAGCGTAAGTCTATATTTGATATCATCTATGTTAATCACATTTTTTATTCTCTAGAAATAAACCCTTGCAGTTATAGAGTTGAAATTTCATCTGAATAATGATTGAACTTAAACTTTTTAGTTACAAAACGAAAGATAAAGCTGCAATAAATAAGCATTGCAGCCTTCCTTGAATTGTTTTATTCATTCAGGGGCCTTTGTACAACGAATAATTGAGAGAGAGACGTGGAAGATTATTTGGAAGGCTTCCAGCGTAAAATCTTCACTTGAAATTGTACATTGTAACTGCAACCTCATGCTGAAGGAAAATCTTAGCAAGCTTTCTCTCATCCCATAATCAATCTTCTCATGTTGAAAGGTCCCTTTAGAAATAATTGTAAACAAGAGGTTGCAGCTCATGGAGGATTGCTAATTATGTGCTGAGTCTTTTTGACAGCTGATGAGATACATCTTTATTGACAAGCATGTATTCTTTTATTTGAGTTTTGGTACTCATTTTGACTCCTAATTCTGAAGATATGCTGCTAAATTTCTAATATCTATACAAATTAAACTTTCATGATCTATCTGGATAAACAAATGAAGTGCCCCACCTTGCCTCTTGGACATGGATTACTTCTTCATAACATGTACTGTGCTACTTGTATTTGTCACATATTGTATAAATACTATTAGGCATTCTGGTTTTATTTGTTGACAATCTGCAATCCTCATATTTGATCTCTAGTTTAACTTCTACAACTTTTCTGCAAATTTCTGAACTCAAATAAAATAAATGATGCCCTGTCACTAAATGTTGCAGACTGATTGGGAAGGTGGCTACTTCCCCCTTACTCTCCATTTCAGTGAAGACTACCCCAGCAAGCCTCCTAAATGCAAGTTTCCTCAAGGTTTCTTCCATCCAAATGTGTATCCTTCTGGAACTGTATGCCTGTCGATTCTCAATGAGGATAGTGTAAGCATATCATAAGCCAGTCAGTTTATTAGCTTTATGATCATATTGGTCTAGCTCGATTTATTTCTCATGGTAGTTAAATTGTATACTGTCTAGGGATGGAGACCAGCCATTACTGTAAAACAAATTCTTGTGGGAATACAGGACTTGCTTGATCAGCCTAATCCTGCTGACCCTGCGCAGACTGATGGTTATCACCTCTTCATCCAGGTTTCCTTTTGAAACTTATGATATCATTTTTGTTAAATTTTCATCTATGATGTATCATTCACAATGAGATTGGAATTTGCAGGATCCAGCGGAGTACAAAAGACGTGTTCGACAGCAGGCTAAACAGTACCCACCGCTGGTGTAGTGTCCATTTCATGTTCAGGTTTGACGTTTAAAATCCTCAAGACAGTCAGGACCTTATCTTTTAGGGTGGATCTGTGTGTGGTTGTGGACTTAAATTATCATCCAACTTGGTATGATATCAAGACATGACTTGCCCGATCAGCTTGATGGAAACTTTAGCTGTTGTGGTGCCCATGGCTATGCAAGCAACCTATCCTTACTGATATCTTTTGTCCGGTTCTTGTCTATCTTTGTTAGTATATTAACTGATACGCTGTGAGATGGTTACAGTTCCTCAAGTACACTATTCGTCTATGTTGATCAATCATCAACAGTTTTTTTCTTCCTTGTATAGATTTGACGTGCAATTCTTTTGCTAAGTCACTTTATGTTATATAGTTTATGTGCACGATGCTGGGTGGCAGGATAACTAGGCTCAGTGATAACTTGGAATTCTCTCCTTGAAAGAAATATAACTTGCAATTCTCACCGATGGATGGGGGCAGCAGGTATGAGATCGAAGCATGATTTTTCTACGTAGACTGGCCAAGGGGATTGGATTTGGGGGTCTCTGTCACGCACTGCCTTGCATTCAATCACAGGCATGCACTCAATACTTATCAGTGGATGCAATAATTAAGAAGACGGAGTGGACAGTGAACATGAATGACGTGGACGTGTCAGATGGGATTCATTATTGAATCTTTGGTGATGGTCCCCAGAATAGTCAACACATCTCAATAGGCTGAGGTAAGATTTAGGTGGTCAGAGAATGCTCAACACAGATGGTTTTGGAGAGTAAATTTGCTGTCATCTGGGATGTTGGTAATTGACTTGTTATGTGCTACATCTACCTAAGAATAACCCCATCTGAAACAACCAGGGAAAGAATTTGCCACCGTGAGAAGTTCACATGGACACAGCAGAACCAAACAGAGTTGTCTTTGGTTTGTTGCTTGGGTACTTGTTACTATATATATATATATATATATATATATA